AGTTTCCACGGAGCACAGTGCCATAGTGCTCACTCCCCAGTTTCTTCATGTTTTTCTGGTCAGGACGTCGGGCCAGGAGCATGAGCGTGACGTGACGGGGACTTAAGGATATTTATATTTTGGACTGTATAATTATTATGACGACTTACGCTTCCGCTTATGACACTTTGATGACTTGTTATGATATTTTGACATCCTCGTTTTGACGAACTAATTATTTTGACGAACTTTTGAGAACTTATGAATTCAGTAACCGGGCGATTTTATTAAATTAAAACAACGTTTTCTAAGTTAAGTCATGATTTTTTTAAAAGGTAGCACCCCGAATTAGTTTTCGCAAAGTAAAAAGGGTTTTATTTTAAAAGACTTTGCGAATTATTGCGCGCTCTGATTTTACGATAAGGAGGGGTGTTACAATTGGTATCAGAGCCACGTTTCTGCGTCTCTGATAAGTTTTCAGTCAATCATTCGTCAGAAAATCCTGAACCGTCATGCTCACGCCCCGCCGACGACAGGTAAGTGCTGATTCAGTTTTTCAATTATTAACATATTACTTTGTATATGCTCAGAATTGAGGATCAGGACTTTAGTTAAGATGCTCGAATAAGGTTCAGATCTTAGAGTTCGGACATGACTATAGAATTCAGGCATTCAGATATGACTCTAGACATTAGGATTTTTCTATATGACTCTAGAGTTCTTCAGATTTCACGTCAGTATTTATCGGCCATTTTTGGCGACTCGTCAAGAGATCTGTGTGCCTTAGTAATCAGTCAGGATGTTATCAAGTGTTCAGTAATGTTATCATGTATTCGGTAATGTTAAACTTTCTTACTGATCAGATGCCGCCCCGTAGGGAATTTGATTACCCAATTCTTACTCAGGCCACAGTAGTCGCACAGTTCCGCGACTATCATGTTGAGAAATTTTTCTGGGTAGGGAGATCCCTGTATCGTAGACGAGTTGATTTAGAACCTTAGAAAGAAGATTAAGTTTGGGAACTCTAGATCCAATTCTAGATTTATTCAAGTCAAGTTAGTAACTTGTCAGAAGATTTGTAAGCATTGTGCTAAACAAATCCTAAGAATCATGTTTCTCAGAAATTTTTATCGAGAACTGCCATTTTGTCAATCAATTGGCAGACTCCAGGAAGAAATTCCTTGATTTAATTCGAGGAATAGACTCAAATTTCTTAAGTCAGATCAGTAAGTCATGTTCAAGGCAAGAATTTACATGTTAAAGGTTGTTATAATTCTCAAGTCATTGTTAAGGTAACGGTTTCCAGTGTATAAGAGTCAATAGTCCGGGTTACCATGGAGGCTTGAAATAAGAGCCACTCAGCCGGGTATACCATGGAGGCTTGAAGCTGGGGCCAAATCAGTAAGATTTTAGGTAATAACAACCTTTCAAGTCAGTCATGTCAGATATTTTATCAGTCATGATATTTTAAGTTATGACTTTCAAAAATCAAGATCAGCTAATTACTTTGTACTTGCGGGACCAGTTGATACTGGAGCAGCCCTATATAGTACAGTGTTCAGGTTCACGATTTACAGTTTACGTTCATGATGTAAGGTCGACGTATAATAGTTGTTCAGCCGGGTAAAATGTGGCGGT